ACACACACACACACACACACACACACACACACACACACTTTCAAAACAGTTGCCTTGGAAATCTATACAATCTACAATTCCAATGCCTCTTCATTTGCACACAAAGTATTTTCGTGCTTTTGAAATTCTGTGCTGGTTTTGAACTTTATTGGAACTTCAGATTTATTTTGTATACTTGCAATAGTTTGTAACTATTTAAAGTATATTGCTGCGTGTTTTAGGGATTAGCATACATTTGGATTTATAAATCTTTGTTTATTGATTTTGAAGTTATTATCCAAGTAGTGTAGAAAATGTATGTGTGTATATGTGGTTTAAAACACTATTATTTCTTCCTTGAAAGGTGAAAAATTTTAAGACTTTTCAAGCATTTTCTTATGCAAATGAGAAAATTGTGGGATGTTTGTCCTGAGAAAACATTCTTTTTCTAAATCACTAATAAACCTTCCTTTTTCTCTCCCAAAGCTTGTTGAAGAATTTTGGCAGTATAATACTTTCCAGTACTGGAGGAACCCTTTACCACCAATCAATTTGGCAGACATTGAAGATATTAATGAAGAAAAGTTTTCAGAAGCAGCTCTTCAGGGCAAGAATGAAGTGGCTGAGATTGACATGGAGTCCTGACAGTGAGCACCTGAAGAAGTAGTTCCTTTTGAGTTTCAGGAGACTTCACTAAGTGAATTCACTCTTAAGAAAAAAAGTTTTGCGTACTTCATGTATTGTTACTTCTGAATCTGAAAAACAAGAAAAAGTCGTTTTAAGAATAAATAGCTGCAGTCGCTACTGAACTTTCTGATAACAGTTTTGTCAAAGATATAATGCAGTTATGGGGGGAATATTTTAAATATAGATTCTTAAATTTTTTTTATTAGACTCTAAATTTGACGGTAACCATCCTATAAAAGGAACTGGCAATTATAGATGAAAATCACAAGTAATACTCCTCCTGCATTTAAAAAATGGTTTATTAGTGAACATAAAGTGAAGATTGTAGTCACTTATTAATAAAATCCGTAATACATTTAATTGACTCTTCTTAGTTGACTGCTTCATAAGTAGCTGACTTAAGCATCTATGCAAACCCAAAAATTTGGAGGATTCTTCCAGGAAGTTGATAATGTTTTCCTTAAAAGAGTTTTCTAATTGTAAAGCAGTATGAATTTCAGTTTGGTTAGCACATTTGGCTAATATTTGTTAAATTCTCAGGAGCAGTCAGAAATAGAGAACAGTTAGAAATGCTAGTTGCGGGTGAGTTGATTCAGACTCAAGACAACTCCAGTTGTATGAAAGCAGAACTGCTGTATAGGATTTTAAAGGCTTTCAGAGGCTTTCTGAAGTGCCTGTAAATGGGTTCAAACCATCAACCTTATGGCTGTTAGTTGAGACCTTAACTGTTGTTCCACAGAGGGACTCTCTACTGAGAAGTGAGTGGGTGCCATTTTACTCACTTTTCCCAGGATGAGTTTATATTGTGTTACAGCCATAACTTTCATTACTTTAGAGTTCTTGTTCTCAACACTGACGGCTCTTCAGAGATCTTTGCCTGAGCCCAACTCTTAAGAGGTTCTTACTTCATTTTGAGCTTGAATGTAGCTATTTTTTTAAAGTATAAATCTTTACCCTTCCCCTGTTGTAATGTTCAGGCAGAGTTGAGTACCACTAGAGTAATGGTAATTTTTCCTGTTTAAAGGAGATAAACTAATTTGAGCTGAAGTAGTGCCACTTAAATGATTTAGTTTTATTTTGTCTTGTTGATGACTTTGTTGGAACTAAATTATTTGGTTGTTTTTACTGTTTTATTGTTAAATAAAGCAATACGTATTTGACTTATGTGAGCATCAACTATCATGTTAATTAATACAATGCGGTACTACATCCTGATTGTTGACTGTCTATTTGAGTATGTTGTTTTTTATGATGTTAGATCCAGACTTCATGGAGATGTTAAATGCCATTAAGAAAGAAAACACTTAAGAAAGAAAGAAAACACTTTATGATTTTTATATATGTTAATAGGATTTTACTATAGTTTGACATTAATAAGGTGATAAACTATAGCAGTGAGGACAGGAATTCAGGCTTTAGAGTCAGATATGGTTCAAAGTTTTATAGTGCCATTTCTTAACCTGTGTAACAGTAAGCAAGTTAGTCATCTGTGAAATAGAATTGAGGCCACTAAGCAATTCCTTGATAAGTAGATAAAATATTCTTGTTACTAGGAATTTCATTTTACTTGGATCCACCATCAATGCCTATCGAAGCAGCAGTCAAAGAATCGAACAACATGCTGCGTTGCGTAAACTTGCTATAGTAACTGATAACTTTTGACAGTAATATGGTATTTTCAATGGCCTTATGTGAATACAAAAGCTGTACAAAATAAGGATGACCAATAATTGATGCTTTTGAATTAAAGTACTAGCAAAGAATATTGGACTGTCAGAAGCATGAACAAATTGTTCTTGGAAGTATACCTTAACAGTCAAGAGTGTCAAGACTTTGTCTTACTCACTTTGGATATTTGGATATATGATCAGGAAAGGCAAGCCCTTAGAGATGGGCATCATGCTTAGAAGGTAGAGGGGCCAGTAAAAAAAAGGAAGATTGTCACTAGGGTAGGTTGTGACAATCAAAGATTGTGACAATCAATTCAAACAGCATTGATTCTGAGGATGGCCCAGGACTGGGTAGCATTTCATTCCATTAACTGGAGGGTCATGGTTAGAATGTCATTGATGGCACAATGCTTTATTGAGACCACAGTTTTTAAGTTCGAAGCAGAGTACTAAATACCTGCATCATTGTGTTAATTCTTAAAATAACTTGATATGTAAAGTGGTTGTACTTCATATGTAAGATTGTTGGGCCCTATTGAGTTGGAACTGACCCATAGCAGACCCTCCTGTGGATTTTCAGAAGTTATTCACATGGGAGGAGATTGCCTGTCTTTCTTACTGTGGATTCCACTGTGGATTCAAACCTCATACCTTCAGGATTGCAGCACAGCTTCTTACCACTAGAGCCCTAGAGCTCCTTATGTCAGGTTGTTGTTAGGTGCCATCGAGTCACTTGTGACTCATAGCAGCTCTATGTACAACAGTCCCAAATCCTGCTCTGACACAGCATGGAGGGTCTTTCTCTATTGCACTATCTCTCCACCCTACATCCCTCTCCAAGGACTGGTCCTGCCTTGCAACATGTAAGGTAGGCCTAAGAAAATCAGAATTACAGTGCTGTTTGTAGTTGCACTTTATTCTCCCTTTATATTGGCTGCAGTACTTTTCCCATGTTTAGCCTGAGGAGTATGTAGTTGGTTTTTTCCCTAGCTCTTTTCGTAGTACCTGCATTCGTGCCTGGGCGTTGGTGGTCAATAAATAAAGAAATGAACATTGTTGAGAAGTTAATAGCCATTTTAGTTGTGGAGCATATCTGAAAAGGCTAGGCTGTTTATCCAAAGACAAACAGAGAAAAATTACTGCAGCATTAATAAAATAGCAGAGTCTTCTTGTTATGTGCCATTGAGTCACTTGCGACGCATAGTGACCCTGTGTGCAATAGCCCTGAAACCTCTATCTTGTGCCAACCTCATTGTCTCTGACACACCGACCCTCATTACCCCAGTCACTGAATCAATCCATCTTAACTAGGGGACCTCCTTTCTTGTGCTGCCCCTCCACCCTTCAAGCATGATGTCCCTCTCCAAGGACTGGTTCTTCCTTGCAACATGCCCGAAGTATGTCAGATGAAGCCTCAGAATCCTTGCCTCCAAGGAATAGCCTGATTTCACCCTCTCCAGGATGAACCTGTTTGGTCTCCTGGCAGTCCATTCAATACTCTTCTCCACAATCACAGCTCAAAGATTTATATTCTCTTTCTATCCCTAGTCAATTGTCCAGGTTTATGATGCATAACAAGCAGTTGCGAAGACCATGGCCTTGAATCAGGAGCACCTTAGTCTCCAGACTGATATTGTTGCTTTTCAGTACTTTGGAGAGTTCTCTGACTGCAAACTTCCCCAATGCAGTTCATCTTTTCATTTCCCAGATGCTACTACCAAGAGTATTGATTGTGGAGCCAAGCAAACTAAAGCTGTTAACATTCTCAGTCTCCACCATCTATCATAATGCTGCCAGTTGTCCCAGTGATGAGAATCTTTGTTTTCTTGATGTTGAGCTTCAACCCATATTGAAGGCTGCAGACCTTGACCCTCTGCAGCAAGCACTTCAAGTCGTCCTCAGTTTCAGCAAGCAGGGTTGTGTCATCTGCATAACGCAGGTTGTTGATGAGTTTACCTCCAGTCCTAATGCCACACTCCTCATAGAGCTCAGATAATCTCTTCTGCATATTGATTGAAAAGGTGTGTAGATAGGACACATCCCTGGTGTGCACCCTTCCTGATTTTGAAACTAGCAAGGGTCTTACAAACAACCATATATGTTGAGGATAATTGGGCAGAATTCTGTGCAGCATCTGTATTGACTATCAAGCTTTAAGAAATATTTTTTAGATTATAAAAGTAGCTTCACTGTGATACAGTGAATTTAAATAAAACTTGAGTTTTTTGTAAAAAGAGCAGATGCAACGTGAGGGTGGCCACGTCTGACCTCTTCCTGCTTCATAAAGTGGAACTTTCCCCATCAGTATTATTCATAGCTCCAAATACCCGCTTGGTTAGACATGCCAGCTCACATGCCCCTGCATATGAATTATTAGGTCCAGTGTTTGTTGCAAGACTCAGACTTTACTCACAGGTCTGGAATTTATTAGGGAAAGAGTAAGGGAGGTTTAGTCCTGCCAGATTGTTGTTAAGTGCTATTGAGTACCCTCAGCACAGTTCCTCAGTTAGTGAAAGTCTAGGTTCATTTCTTCAGCACAAATCCAAGAAGCCTCTGGTTTCCTCAGTCATTCAGCAGATTTTATCAGAGCAGTTACTCAGCTTTTCTTTCATCCAGTAAGCAAAACCTTTAACTGTATGCAGCATAAATGCAGAGCTGCTCAGGTTACACCTTAACCACTGTCTTTACCCTCTTCCCACCATTGTCACCTGGGCTTCTTACAGTGTGGAAAACACTCTATTATATCAGCCCCATAGCTGTTAATGATTTGCAAGATCATATGTCCACAATTAAGGTAGCCGGAGACCAACACAATTGCCATAAAAGCCAATTTTCAAACGTTCTGACTCCCCAACATTTGTACACACATTTAAAGACCCAGTTAAAGGACCAAAAGATGAAGCTTTTGATAGTGATTCTCACTGGGCCAAAAAATTTATGATAATTAGATTGAGTTGAAAATATTTTAAATCTTTTTACAATATGAATATGAAATTAGGCAGCTAAAGGTGCTTCCACAAGATTCAAATAGTACAGAAATAAATGTAAAAGAAGTCCTCTTTTCAGTTCCCCATTTAGAGATAAAAATAGAAACAGCAAAGTTTCATTAGGCTTGTTTAACACAAGCACATTTCTGTTTGGTCAGTTCCGCTTCAAAGGAATTGGAAGGATATAGCTTTTAATCAGGTGCCACATCTTTATTCTTCTGAACAGCTGGTGAGTTCAGCCTTCAATCTTTTGGTTACTAGCCCAGCACTTAACCAGTGCCCCACCAGGTGAATTTCCCTT